TCTAAAGGGGGCCGAGCATGACTATAATGTCAAGTCGGACGAAATGAATGACCTTGAGCAGGATCTAAAAAGGGCTAGGCATGACAATGATGTCAAGTCGCAACAAATTATTTACCTTGAGCAGCGTCTAAAGAGGGCTAAGCGGGATAACGATGTCAAGTCGGTCCAAATGAATGACCAGCAGCTGCCGGCTCCAGCTGCTGAGACTCAGACCAGGCGTTGGTGGTTTCGCTATGCCAAAGGTCTACTGACAGGATTGTTCGTTGGTGTCGCTGGAGTGGCAATAGCGAGAACTTTGTGTGGGACTGGATAGTGCAACCCGCAAGTGATCAAATTGTGATTAGCACAAAGATAACATGTTGTGAGTGTGATGCCCACCAATGTGTTGTCACGTGTGCTACGTATTTTTGTTTTCATGCACAGCCAATATGTATTGGAGTGAGCACACTTGTTTATTCCAGCAATAGTTTTATAAGTGACTGACCTAGTGGGAACAATGATGTTGCCACTAAAGCCACTGTACTCCAGAGGAAGAGCGAAGCAGGATGTGAAATCCTTCTTTTCGAGTGACTGCGTTCAGGAGAGAACTGCAAGGCTAATAACGTTTAGCATTTTAAGACCATCCTACGGTGATAGATTCTGTTATCCTTGTCACGACCCGGCTCAAAAAGTCGTAACATGAGGGAGACAAGACGAGTGATAAAAGTAATAAATAGACATTTATTTAAAGTACAACTAACTAAACCTAACTAACTAAATAAACAAACAAAACAAGGCAGCAGCCAGCCAGGTCCTCCACACAGGAGTCAGAGAGGAGAGGTGCAGAGAGGCACCACAGCCAAAGAAGAGGGGCAGCCTTTATAGCTGGGACCAACCCAGCAGGCTCAGGTGGGGCTCGTTAGCTGCTGATCAACATCCTGCAAGACAACCTGAGAGGAAACAGACACAGACCCCTGGTGGAAGGGAGGGGTCGTCACACCCCCCTCCATAAAAACAGTGTTCCCACCAGGAACACCAACAAACTGCATACAGATTTCAAAATTTACAGATTTCATATTTCAGATTAAGAGTGCATCCCCCCCAGCCCTCCAACCAATCTCCACTCTGCAACTCCAACATGTGGAGAAGCATTTAAGAGTGAGAGTGGATAAGGAAGGAAGGCCAGAGAGATTACACAGTGATATGGTACTGCACATGAGGGGAAGCAGGGTTTCCTGCGAGGGCCAGTTCATGCAATGAGCTGCATGAACGAGTGGTGAACACCCAGAACTGGAATTGTCATAATTGCCAGCTAACAGAAAGCACCAAACTAAACTACCATAAGCGCTAAGCTGTAGTAGCCTAAAGGTTCCTCTGACAGACGCGCAAAGACTGACACACTTTCTGTTTCCAGACATCCCATTGATAAGGCCCGAGCAGGGAGGCACACCACACACACACACACACACACACACACACACACACACACACACAAAGTTACTAAACATGAGTGATGAAGGACATGGTGCCTTGAGTTTAAGCTGCCGAGTTTGGTATCTATTTTATCATTTGTATCTGACATGGACCTACGTGTCTGAAACAACGTTAAATCAAGTAAATTGAATATCAACGAAAGCAGAACTTTAAAGCAGACAAGTCTCTTTTTCTTGTCTTCTCTCAGAAGAAGTCACAAATGAGAGGACAGAGGACAACAGACTAAAGTCATTCACGCTTTTCTTCTCCTGAATAATCCCAGTTTTGTCCAAATTTAGTTGGAGGACATTTTGGGACACATCAACCAGAAAGTCATGTAACATCGACTTCTATTCTGACTGAATCTTTCATGTCTCTCTCACTCTCTTTCTTTATCACTTATTTATTTTTTCTTTTACTCCTCCTCTCCACAGTGAAGCGATATCATGTACACGTCTCAGTCGTGGAGCTGTATTGACAGGAAGGGGGTCAAACTGATCCATTGGTAGTTTTTCTTTTGGGGTCGTTGCTTTATTCAAGGGGGTCAACAAACAGTACTGTGAGTGCTGTATACTTTACCCGATGAGTACTACAAAAGAGTATCGAAATGATGTGACAACTGATATTAGATATACTGTAACACCAATTTTGTTTTTGATTACACTGCAGAAAAGTAATTTTTTGACTTGTCAGAAGAAGGTGATTTCAAATATGAATACAATGTATGTAATGGTACTCTGTGCATTCGCCGGCATCTAGCAGGGAGGATGCAGATGCAACCAGCTAAACTTTTTCAAGCTGTGCCAAGCGAGTAGGAGAAATACGGTGGCCGATGTGAAAACCTGAATGCGCGAAACACAAAAATTTGTATTTGTCGTATTAAGGCATTATTGATGCAGTGGTGCACTCTGGATCAACCCGTGTGCGTCTGCAGGTGGAACACAGCACCCCCCTCACAGAACATAAAACTTAGAAGTTGCACAAACTGAAAAGTTAAAAGAAAATCTCTGGGGGAACAGCAGTTCAATGCACAAGAAATATTTATTTTCTTATTTTATGCTTTACGTCTTGCCGGGTGGATGATGGCACCACGGCACTGTTCAGAAGTGTTCTGAAGACTCTTCAGAGTCCACAGACACGTCATCCAAACTGATAATGGACAGGGAGTCACGGGGGAAAACGTACTCATCCATGTTGGGGAGCCCGGACAACACACAGCAGCTCACGGCACTGCGGCAAATATCCATGTGACGAGCCTCCGTCCACTCGTCATTCGTTGCGTCGTAGTACTCGACTTTACTGTAGAAGGAGCGGCCGTTATGGCCCCCAACCACATAGATCCGGTTGTTGAGCACTTCGATACCAAAGAAGCTGCGGGAAGTCAACATAGGGGACACTTGCCGCCAGGTGTTGCTCCTAGGGTTGTAGACCTCTGCGCTGCTCTGATGGACGGAGCCATCAAAACCGCCAACCTTTTGGGAGGAAAAGTGAAAATGAAGGGTGAGACGTTTGAATTGAGATTTAACCAAATTCTTCGCCAAAAGAGAACGCTCATCTGAGTCTAAAAACAACCGCTGACCAAATCTCTTCATACGTCACACAGTTAGTGTGTCACTGTTTCATGTACTTACTGCGTAGACATGGTCTGCATATGCAACGATGCCAATTCCAGTGCGCCGGCAGGTCATTTGGCTGATCATTGTCCACTGGTTGGTCTCTGGGCTGTAAAATTCAACCGTTTGCAGAGAGTCGACCCCATTGAAACCGCCACAAATGTAAATCTGGGGAGAATCAGAGGGGGGTTGCTGAATACCTTTAGTCTGACAGTACTCTCTGGCCAGTTACTTCAACACAGCCTCAACCAGAAACACTAATTGCGGACCTTGAACTTACAATTTGGTTATTTTCACAACATCGCAGTCTCGTTTCAAACAGGTAAAAAAATCAAATTGTTCCCGTCACCATCGTACTGTTTCTCTTGAATTACTCTAGTTCACTTCACCCACCTTGTTGTGGAGCGTCGTGCTGCTGGCGTCACTCCTACGATCGTGCATCGGCGCGATGAGACTCCACTGGTTGGTCTCGGGCCTGTAGCACTCTGCGGTGCTGAGTCGTGAGTGCCCGTTATAACCTCCCATGGCGTAGATGCACTCGCCTAGCACAGCGACGCTCACGTAGCATCGGCGGTGGTTCATGGATGCCGCCTCGTGCCAGGTGCGCGTGCTCACGTCAAACCTGCGCACGCTGTTGGAATGTTCGACCTTGTTGAAGCCGCCGACGCAGTAGATGCTCCCGTTGAGGACGGCGGTGCCGTGGTAGGCGCGAGGACTCTCGTCTTGGTCTGTCACCAGCATCCAGAGGTCGGTGCTGACGTCGTACGACTCGATGCTGTTCGTTGGATTGATGCCGCTCCAGCCCCCAATGGCCAACAGGATGGCGTTAGGCAGGCGAGGGCGGGGGAGAGGGCTGTGGAGCTGCGACACAGAGGGTCTGAACCTCATGATGGGACTTAGGATTTCGATGGCTGAACTGACCATTTCCAGGCACTCAGCGTTGTTTTTCACCAGCTCATTGGACATCACGTTCAACCTCACGTAGTCGTTACTCGTCAACACCAGTCGCACCTACACAGAGAAAAACAGGACACAATCTTTCAATTGAACTCAATGGCCTGTACTCGAGTCCAGTGTCCAGACCTCTGTTGCTTTTCTGTAATCATTTTACCTGTGACTAATATTCACATTTATACTCTTGAATATTCAAAACTCAGATACCATTTTTAAACCCTTTTAGATGGTGACATTCTATATTTTGGTGATTCTCAATACTTTTCTTTAAAATCTCCAAACCAACTATGTGTTAGTTGGCCTCTTGATACTCAGACTTTCTCTGCCTGACTGTGGTACCAAGCCCATTTGTTCCTACTAAAGACATAAATCTTTTACTCACTTTAACTCTTAACCTTGAATTAGACTATGGTGGTTTAATTGATCGCCACTGCAATTTAGGATAACACCTTCAGCCAAATGCTGAAGAGGCAAGTCTAAACTAAATCTGGTGACAGAAGGTTAACATACCCTAGAGAAGAGCACTGCGATGTGTGCTTTTCGCACTTCGGGTTCGTGGGCGATCCAGCGAAGGATGGCCTCGAACACCGCGCTCTCTTTGCTCACATTGAGGTCGTCTCTATCGAGGATGTCGGCGAGTTGCTGCACGGAGAGCTGCGGGAACTCTTCGGACAAAACCACCTTCTCAAAGTGATCAACGATGAAGTGGTAGGCCTTGAGCCGCAGCTCGGGGGACAAGCAGGTGTCGGTGACCTGAAAGATGCCGATGCAGTTCTTTGGGCAGAGCTGCTCGCCCAGGAAGTCGCGGCAAGTTTGCACCACGCCCATGACGTTGAGCTGATCGGCTGCCAGCAGCAGCTCCTGCACGTTTTCCTCCGTCACGGAGACCAAGCCAGTGTACGCAAACTCAATGATGAACTGCATCATGTCCGGAGACAGGCCGGGTATGTGGAAGACCTTTTTGTCTTGAGGTGGCTGACTCCAGAGATCCCTGCGGGTCAGAATAAACACAGAGCAGAGGATTGGAAACAGACTTCAGATTTTCATTCTCATTGTCTCATTGATAACAATCATAAAGTTTTTAAGTAAGCATTCACAAAATCAACATACTACACCATTTTGCATTAAAGGGAAATTGTACGTAAACCGCCGGACATCATTCCGAGTGTAACTAGCAGTAAGAATGTCACTGTCAAATAAATGTCACAAATATGTAATATTACATTTTGTATGCTATTTTTGTTTTCTTTTGTAATCTCTCTGGAGCCGTTTCATCACCATCTACAATTCATCTTGTGCAGCAGTGAACAGCTTCTTCCTTCAATTTGTGTGTCGAATTATCCATCTCAAGTGTTTGTAATTACTTTTTTTTGTTGAATTTAGTCACTTTTCTGAACACAAATTACTCAATACTAATCTGCTTAAAAGCACATTACTATGGACCTGAGAGACTATTGTAGCTGATATATTATATCTTCTCCTCTCTGTCAAACTTGTCACAAATGCTCCATGAACGTATGTAATTCATCACATATCGTGATTAGTCTCCCAGACTTGATCATTAACTATTACTTTCTGCTCATTTGAAGGATAATACATTCTCTCACACACACACACACACACATATATATACACACACACACATATATACACATATACACACACACACACACACATCTCTCTCTCTCTCAGATAGCCAACTCACTGGAAGTACGGGCTGCATCTACACAGGATGACCTTGTGGATTTCAAACATTACATCCTCGACTTTGATGACGGCGTCGCAAAATCTTCCCTCCAGACGGAGAGAATTAAACACTGAGCTTGACATGTGTGAAGATTCGTTCCAGTCGCTCATCTTGATTTTCTTGAGTATAAGAGCTTTATGGTCAATGACTTGTCTCAAGGGTCTCAACAGGTCTTTTGAGTCAAAATAGAGACAGTAACCACACAACATGTTGTGGTGCTAGAATTCTAGAATGGAATCCTGGACCTATGATATCACTGATGAACTGACATCCTCCAATTCAACCTGTAGACCATACGATTGTCATACAAGCATAAAGTTATGCAGTATTTATTGCTGTAACTTAGTTTTCTTTTTGCGTTTTACATGTAGCCTACATCAATCTGACAGTGGTGTTTCACCAAAGTGGCAAACACATTATAAATGTTGCTATGTTTTGCATATAATCCACACTGTAAACAGTGTCATTTTGCTTTTGACAGAAGCCATTTCACTGAATGGTGCACATTATGTTTTCTGCTAGTTTTATTACAGATGTCCACCAGTAAAATAAGCAACTCAGTCATTTTACTGTTAGTTTAAACTCCTTGGTCACTTTGTTAGGTACTATATAATCTAATACAATCCACTACAACAGCTCTACCAGATATGAATGTTTAGTTTTTGTTAAAAACTTTCAGAGAGGTGTTGATTCAACTACGTGTTTATTATTGACGTTGACGTTTGCAGTGCTGTACATGCATGCATCTATGCATGAAGCCATTCATGCACACATCGGCACACACTTACGGAGTCAAACACATATTCACTGCCCAAAAATCTGCAGTAACTCCCTGGTTTTAAACCACTGCCTTCCTCAAGGGCAAACACAGCAGGTAGCCTGAGATCAAATTAGCAAGTTAGCCTTTGGTTAACTGAGTAAAGACCCCATCCAAGAGAAATATGCACTCAGTTCATGACATTGTGCTGTGATGAAGAGGAAAATGTGTGCAGCAGTGAACAGTAGGAGGGAGCACTGTGTTGACAAATGGCTGCTACATACAGCGGCTTCTGATTAAACAGTATCCGAGGAGGTGTTCATAATACAAAGAGGCAGTGGACTGTAATCGAAACAGATTCCACCAAAAGTACTTGAACTTATTCACCGGGGTCAGTTTGGTTGTTTTCAAATCACTGGCCCAGTAATTTGTCTTGAAGGCAAAACAACTCAGGAGTGAGATGTAAAATAGTTTAGACACAAAGCGTTAGCTGAATATTTACAGGGGAAATAAGTTTTCAAAGCCCCAGAAAGCAAAAAAACTGGAACTATAAATCACTGAATGAGGCAGATAGAGTCGTTCTTCAGCAACAATGAGCTATGCTCTAATCGCTCAGTTGGACTCGAGCGCTGCTCCTCAAAGTGACATGCAGGCTAAGTGAAGCACCAGTCACTCTTGGTGCTGATGGTGAACAAGCGCTCCTCGTGTTCTCTCAGCTACGTGAGGCAGATGTTCTGCACTGACAACACGGAGCCCCATAGAAAAGTATGAGAGCTCATCATCATCATCATCACTGTCAACATCCTCATAGCCACAGCCACTAACATCATCATCCTGATCATCTTCTTTGTATCATCTTGAGACTAAAATATTTATATGCACTTAAGAAGCTGAGAGAACAGACAGAGAAAGGTCGAGAATACCAGTTGTTCCTTCTTCTGTGAGAGGATTTAATGCTTTTCTCTGTTTTATGTCAATGTTCACTGAATATTTGGGGGTTGTGGACTGTTGGTGAGACAAAACAAGACATTTGAAGACGTCACCTTTCACTCTGAGAAACTGAATATCATTGTTTTCTGATCAACAGATCAAACACTATCGTGTCACTGCAGCAAATATCACTTCGGGTCAATACATTTTGAGATGCAGGGCCACAATAAAGCTCGCAGCAGTTCTGCAGATTAAAAAAAAACAGGAAGGTTTGTCAGTACGAGGACCAAAAACAGTGCAACACAAA